TGTTGATGTAGATCAAAACCGCAATATTTCAGATAATTATTACAAAACCGTTAATTCAAAATCTAAAAAGTACGCAACTTTTAACGCATACATTTTAAATAGTTATTAACCTAAAAAGTCATTACATAGTGACCTTGAAGTAGTCAGTTTTCGTTTTAGTTTCTAGTATGCAGTTTCTATATTTATAAAGAATTACGAAAATAATTTCATCAAATTTTCATTCATGATCAACTACTTTGAAAATATGGTTTCACAGATCACTAGGAATTAACCTTAATTGGCGAGATTAAGATTCCATAATACCGCAGAGCTAAATAAACATTTGCGGTTAGGTGCGGAAGAGGATATATTGTTTCGAGATTTTTACGATTCGCTAAATGTATCACGTATTATGGAAACTGTGTCTTGATTTAAAGTATTCTTTATTTGGGCTTAAGATTATCAATTTGAAACCAAAGAAATGTAAATTAGTAGGAATACTATTGTTACGTTAACCATCAATAACAAATCATTTGAATGTGTTGAAGAGTTTGAATACCTGAAGATGACTGATGAAAGAGGAGGACTTTGAATGATGTAGGTAAATATCAGGATTTTCCACAAAAGCAAGTAACTCAAATACAATACTTTTTAAATCAGAATAGTCTATCTTGTATTATTTTAGAACTAAAGCAAGTGTTTTATAATGTACAATTATTTATCGGCAGGTGTACATTTTTGTGTTTTGGTAATTTTTTTTATGATAATCTTTCAGATCACTAGCTGCACTGGGCAATGGAGAGCAAAAGTGAAACATTAAAATTCGTAGAAGAAATTATGATGTATTGACCTCAGCTTAAAATGAGAATAAAATTATGTTACTTATCTATACTAGAGAGGATGACAATATAAAAGACTCTCTTTGATATTTTCACTTTTAATATGTATATTGTACTGTTATATAATATGTTAGGTTTTGGTCTCATTTGGAATTTAATATTGCCTTCATATTTTTTTTTTCAATTTGTTCCTTTTGTAGCACCTCAAACGATGGAGAATGTTTTAGACACACAAAATTAAGTCGAAAGGAATGTGAATGTGGTTCTTCAGACGTTTCTACTAGTGCACAAACTTAAACAGAATTAGGGAGAAAGAAAAGAAAATATTACAAGATGATAGCTACTAGAAACATATTTATGATTTGTTGACTATTTCAAGACTGACTGTGCAAGATTTAAGCAAGAAAAAGACTAAGCCTGCGAGACTCTTGCGTCTTGCAGTTAGAACTGGGTGTCTTTTTAGCGAGTATAGTATTTCGGTTATTATATATTCATGCATCCCAAACTGCTTTGTGTAAATTGTGCCTACATAGAAAGTTTGAAATGAAAATTAAAAACGTAAATACTTCAAATTTAAAGAAGCTTCTAATATCTTTAAACAAAAAGGATTTCTTCCTAAAAAACCAAAATTCGGTGGAGATACAACAAGCTTTTTAATAATCGCTGGAAAAAGTGGACATGTCAAAAAATATACTTATTACCTGATTATCAATTACATATATTATGTAGCTACTACTTTATTTTGGTAAATTAATGTATTTATTTATCTCCTTAATTTAAAATATTTTTTATTCTCATTACTTTTTTACCTATTCTTTATTTTTTATAAGTTAAGTTAGTTTTTTATATAAAAGTAGAGCTAAGATTGTTGAAAATATTTATGTTGCTTTATTAAGTGAATTATAGTTTGTTATCTTATCATCTAAAGAAGCTGTGCCCTTGTTACATGTATGTGGATTTTTTGCCACATACCAATCTTTTTTAAGATTTCCATTTCATATGGTGGGAGGTGCATCAAGCCCTTTCTAGGGAGATAATGTTCTTTAAAATACAGACAAGTTTATATCATTTATTTGTTTTTTTTTTGTGTTTTAACCATTAAACAGATTGACTTCCGTGGGGCATGGTAGATAGCTAAGTTAGTTAGAACATAGGAGCTGATCGCTTAGATTGTGGCTTTAAACTCTACCCGGTGTCAGTTGTTTAGACATTTATTAATTTGGTTGGTCTTTATTATGGCTATGTTAATTCAAGCTAAAATGTACTTGCTCTGTTACGTTGTTCTAAGATCCAAAGTAACATTTAATAAATAGCAATAGGAGAATGGGTAACTGCAAGACTTGCAAGACTCTTGCTGCAATACCAAGACCAAGGCCAAGACCGGGAGTGCAATACCAAGACCAAGATCAAGACCAAGTGTATTGGCGCAAGACCAAGACCAAGACTGTCTACGACTCGTCTTGTTCTTGCATTTGGACAACACCTTAGACATCTCCCTAGAAAGGGCATCAAGCCCTTTCTAGGGAGATAATGTTCTTTAAAATACAGTCAAGTTTATGTCATTTATTTGTTTTTTTTTTCTAGACCACATTCCATATGACAAAAAGTAACATAAGTTGCCTAAGACACAGGTCATTCTATTAATCATGACTATAAACCATCATTGATTTCACATCTTTTATACCCTAAATTAATAAATAAAAAAGTGTTTTAAATCCCAACACCTAGATTGCTGATATTTTTTAAAATCATCAAAACTTGTTGAATCTTTTGGCTGTAGTAATACTATGTACAACTAATATAGTTTTTTGTTACATTGATATTTTGTTTTCGACATCGTTCATAAGTATCTTGTCAATCAGTTCCCAGCTGCTCTCCGCGTGTAGAGGTTCTCTCACCGGCTCTGGAACTCGCTTCAGCCATGTGTTACCTCTAGCCAAATTTAATTTAATACTGAACATCACAGTTATTTTACAACACAATGTATAATCTTTTATAACTAAATGTAATTTAAAGGGTTTTTACCCTAGTATTTTGGTGGCTCAGGCATTGTGACTAGTAAGTATAACCATCTTTTGCTTTTCAACCATAGTCAAAATTTCATAATCACGTTTGTTTTAACTAAATGGTTTATACTTATTTTTAGGCATTTTTTCGATTTTAAAACCTGATGATGGACTGTGTGGTCCGAAAACGTTTGTTTTATTGATGTAGCCCTTTTAAGGGTTTTTTAAATAAATATACCCATTTACCCATTTTTTATGTTTTAACCATGTTTCAGCACATGTAAACTTATAAAATGCAAACGTTTATTAAGAAACAGATTGACTCTCGTGGGGCATGGTAGATAACTAAGTTAGTTAGAACATAGGCACTGATCGCTTAGATTGTGGCTTTAAACTCTACCCGGTGTCAGTTGTTTAGACATTTATTAATTTGGTTGGGCTTTATTATGGCTATGTTAATTCAAGCTTAAAATGTACTTGATCTGTTACGTTGTTCTAAGATCCAAAGTAGCATTTAATAAATAGCAATAGGCTAATGGGTAACTGCAGGACTTGCAAGACTCTTGCTGCAAGACCAAGACCAAGACCGGGAGGGCAATACCAAGACCAAGACCAAGACTGTCTAAGGCTCGTCTTGTTCTTGCATTTGGATAACACTAACCAGAGAAACTGGAACAAATTATGAATAGGCTAGGCACAGTGAGTACGGAATATGGTTTGAAAATAGATATGCAGAAATTAAAGTGATGATCATCGATAGAATCAGAAACAACCAGACAGATATAAGAATCGCGGCAGGTTACGAAGTGGTCAGGCGATTTAATTACTTAGCCTGTTTTTGTTAGTTGCTTCTTTTTAAAGTATGTTGTGTATGTAGAAATCGATTCTAACTTCCGATAAGAGCCTAAGCTGCTGCTTATTCCAATTTGTTAATGATTTAACATTCTAAATACATTTTTGATACTTTTATATAACAGTTTGTTCTTTTTTAAAGTACCTTGGTTCTTTAGCAACTTTTTATTGCAAGGAGTAATGGTATTCTTCAGAGGTCTATTTTTATCCTTAAGTTGTGCTGGTATCTTCCAAGTTTTTGTTATGATTATTGTCCAGGATGCTGGTTTGCCTCTCTCTTTATATTCTTTTGTTAAGGTCCAGAGAGGTATTTCTTAAAACTGGTCCAGACTCTGTTCTTGTCAAAATATCTTCTAGCTTAATATTTGGTAAAAAAGATTCATTTCTAAGCCCTCTTCTGTGCCTTGTTCTTTTTATCCCAATCTCTCTGGCAATTTTTCCCTTGAGCTAAAACGAAATACTGTCAGGCATGGTAGGGCGTCCTTACCCTGCTAAGGCTATAATCGTCCAGAATGCTTCAGCTCTCTGGATCATCGCTTAAGGCAACATTTTTCCTACGTACAGTACATAGCACAGTAATTGCAGAACAAATCTGACCGTATCAAGTTATGGTGCAGCTGTATGTGATTTTCCCACCAATCACTGTGTGATCACGGGGTAAAAAAGTTTTAGTCTGTGTGTGTATGTGTTTGTATATCTTTTATCTTTATATGTATGATTGTGTGTGTGTAGGTCATGTTCAATTAACAACTATACAGTAATAAAATAATTGCAGACCCTATGAAATGTTCTTAGTTGATCTACTAGCGTTTATTTGGTTACATACCTTATCCACACCTGTTTTAATTATCCATAGTATGTGCCCTATGAGACATTGGAATGTGTGATGTTAAAGTTAAGAATATCGCCACGTATATACATACATGCATATATACGCGGTTATACTTGGATATAACTATTAGTGTGTATGTGGGTTCTTCGTAAAATATTTTTTCTGCTTTTCACCTATGTGTTACATTGCTGTCCAGCAGGCCCCAACATGGAGAATAAAGTACATTTCGCATTTAGAAACCCATGCAGTTCAACACAATGTATTTATCGTAAGTATCTAAAATAAGTTCAAAATTAATATCGCTTATAGTGTTAAGTAATACTTGGCATCAGGAAAATAATTTGAATGCTTCCTATCAAAGATACGATTCATTAGTTTATTGCAGTGTCACGCATGAGTCGACATAGTGGGATTAACTATTCATTTTCTATATAAAGTTGGTAGTTTATAAAATAAATAAAACAAAACAACATTACGTCTACTCTAACAAAGATGAGAACTGTAAGAAAATCATTTTATTTTGGGGGTATTTCTTAATTTCATATGTTTTAGGTTAGTCTTTGGGGTTTACTAGTTTTAACGATAGCTGTAGTTAACGCAGGAGTGAGTATAACAGTTTAAAATTATATTTGTATTATATAATGTGTATTAATGTGTATATATTATAATTTTCTATAACATATATATCAATATCTACATATATCAAAAAATTGATTAAGCTATTTTTTAAATATTCGCTCTTTTCGCCGACACAAAAAGAAATAATATAAACCTCACGAAGAATAAATATGTTTGATATGATTTTTTTTTCTCACGTATTAAAAGACTAATTTAAAAATGATTTTCAATGTAAAATATCTACTGCACTGTGCAAATTAATGGAATCATCATCATCATCATCATCATCATCATCATCATCATTAGCCATTTTGCGTCCACTGCTGAACATAGGCCTCCCGTAAATAATTCCATTGCATCCGATCTTGAGCAACTTGAATCCAGTTAGACTGGATGCGCTTTAAATCGTCCGACCACCTTGTTGGAGGACGTCCTCGACTACGATAAGCATCGTGTCTAGGCCTCCACTCTAAAATTTTCTTTGTCCATCTTCCATCTCTGACCCTAGCAACATGTGCTGCCCAGTTCCATTTCAGGGTTGTAATTCTTTCAACTGCGTCCGTCACACCAGTTTTTCTCCTTACTATCTGACTCGAAACTCTGTCCCTGAGTGATACGCCCAACATTGACCTCTCCATCGCTCTCTGTGCCACTTGTATCTTATTAATTACTTTTCTGGTAAGTGTCAATGTTTCTGCTCCATATGTCAGAACTGGAAGTACACACTGATCAAAAACTTTTCTCTTCAAGCACATGGGAATAGCTGATTTAAAGACTTCCCTCAGTTTTCCGTAAGCTGCCCATGCCAGTCCTATTCTCCTTTTTAACTCTGTTGTTTGATTGTCTCTTCCCAATTTAATCTCGTGGCCCAGATACTTATAGGAATACACTTGTTCAATTTGCGTGCCATTAGTGGAAATGTTTTTTGCCAGTACCAGGTTGGTCATGTATTGTGTTTTGGAAAAATTAATTTTAAGGCCAACTCGTGCACAAGAGCTCTGAAGGTCTTGAAGAAGTTGGCATGCATGATCTACCTGATCTGCAATAAGGACTATGTCGTCTGCAAACCTCAAGTTGTTCAAAAATTCCCCATTTATATTTAATCCAATATTTTCCCAATTATTTTTTCTCATAGCACTCTGTAATAGGGCGGTGAATAGTTTAGGAGAGATAGTGTCTCCTTGCCTAATACCTTTCTCCAAGGGAAATGTGTCTGTGTCACCATAGTACATTTTTACAGCAGCTGTTGCGCTATCATATATATTTCGAAGAAGAGTTGTGTACCTATGGTCAATACTGCACTCTGTAAGAGCTCTTAACATGGAGCTATGCTGGACTGAGTCAAATGCTTTCTCAAAGTCTACAAATATTAATATCAATGGCTTGTTGTATTCTATAACTTTCTCTATCAAGGATTTTATTACTTGTAGGTGGTCATTTGTTCCAAAGCCACTCCTAAATCCGGCCTGCTCTAGAGGTTGATGAAAATCTAGCTTAGGTCCCAGTCTGTTAGTAATTATTCTCATAAAGAGTTTATATAAATGAGATAATAAGTTGATAGGTCTGTAGTTGCCAATTTCTGTTACATCTCCTTTTTTATGCAATATTATCATAATGGCATTATTCCATTTTTCTGGCGTATTTCCTTCAAAGAGGCAGGCATTATAAAGGGTTTTTAAAGCCTTTATGACGCATTCGCCTCCTAGTTTTATCATTTCACTTACAATGCCATCTTCTCCAGGTGTTTTGTTGTTCTTCATACCTTTTAATGCTGACTTAATTTCCTCTTCGGTTATATCTGGAAGTTCCTCTGACCCTTGATTTAGTATTGCTGGAATTTCTACTTCGGGAATGTGATCATCTCGACTATATAATGTTCTATAGTACTCTTCGATGATTTTTAGTATCTCTTGTTGTTCATGTATGACATGTCCTTGATTATTTTTTAACTTATAAATATTCCTCGTTCCTATTTTCAACTTTCGTTTTAGAACTTTTAGGCTTTTGTTTTGTTCTACGGTATCAGTTATTTCCTTAGTGTTAAAGTTCCTTATGTCTTTCCTAATGGCTTTTGAAATGGTTTTGTTTAAATTCCTTAGCTCTGCAATGTTCGTCGTATGCTTTTCTTTCATTTCCCTTCTTTTTTGCATTAGGTTTCTTGTGTCTTCTGTGAGTTTTTCATTTTTTGTTGAGTGCTTGGCTTGGCACTTCTTCTGTGACTTCTTTAGGGCTTCTACCAATTTTTCGTTAAGCTGTTCAATACTGGTTTCATCTTGCAGGTCTTTCTGTAGATTACTCTCTATTTCTTCCTGGTATGCCCTGGTGTTAATAATTGCAGTGAATGTAACATTATTAGTCCTTGTTACCATATGTCTTCTTTCCTTCTGTATGTTTAAGACTATCTTCGCCCTAACCATTCTATGGTCACTTCCAGTTGAAAATTGATTTAATACAGTTACGTCTTGAACAGCGTCTTTTTTGTTAGTAAATATAAAATCAATTTCGTTCTTGTTTAAACCATTTGGTGATTGTCAAGTCCACTTTCTTTGGTCGCTTTTTTTAAAGTGCGTATTCATGACATATAGCCTGTGTTGCAGAAGAAATTCTATGAGAGTTAATGGAATCATAGGTTGTTTTAATTAAAAAACAGTTTATTTAAAATATATATATATATTTTGACAAAACTATAAAGGGACGCTTACATCGATTATTAGGAAATAGGACCTTCTTTAGCTGCACTTACTGCTTTTACCTGTTTTGGCATAGATTCTACAAGCTTCTGACAGTTCCCAGACATCCTTTCATCTCGAAGCCAAACCTGAATGACCGCTTCTATTATTTTTATTTTTGTAATACAATCAATTTTGCGCCACCTGGCTTTGCACATGGTCCATAAATTTTCAATGGGGTTATGGTCTGGCGAATTACTGGGCCAATCTACAAGATTAATCTTCTTATTTTTAAAAAATTTCATTATTTGCTTTGACTTGTAACAGGGAACGGAGTCCTGTTAAAGAATCGCTCCTCCTTGGGGCTGAGATTTTTGGAGTTTTGTGCTGAAACGCTGTTCCAACATGGATTTGTATTGTTGGCTGTTCATAATGCCTTCATTGGTACCAAAGATATAATCCCCATGTATGAAAAACATTCCCAAAACATATTTTTGACTGGATGTCTTTCGGATGACGGTTTCATCAATATTACATGGTGTCAGGATTCCATTGTCAGACTTACTGACGAATTTTGACCGCTGTCCCTGATTTATAAAGTATGTTTCATGTGTAGTCATCTACAGTCCAATTAGAGTATTTTTTAGCCCACAATAACCTTTAAGGGGCCCTTTTTGGGGCTCTTGGTTTGTTTTTCTTAGGTCCAATTTGCTCTTTTAAAGTAAAACTCTTTTATTTGCTGGTGTTGTTTTTCTCTTTCTTCAACATTTTTCTAACCTTTTCACGGTCATTGATCCCGTTTCTCGTTTACGCTTCAAAATCTTGCTTACTACCAACTGACTCACACTCCACACGTTCTTGCGATTTCTCTTTGTCACAAGAAGTGTGTTCACTTAACCTGATATTCTTCTCACGCTTCCTAAGAGTAATATCCATGGTGAATTAAACAAAACAAACTCAGTAATTACCGAAAACAACACAAAATAGTACAAAACAAAACAAACTAAGCGGGAAATGTCCTAAAACACCCTCAAATAAAAGGCAAGAAAAAGTAAGGTTATGTTTTCAATGCTTGGTCAGTTGTAAATATGTGGATAGTGTTGCCAACTGTGAATTTTGAAAAATTTCACAATGATTCTATTAGTTCGCACAATACTGTAAGAGTTGTACCATTTTTTGTTTAAAAAAATTGGGACCACTACCAGTATGCGAGCCAATGAAAAAAATAAAATTGTGTATAATAAAAAATGCACAATAACTATCTTTTAAATCTATTTAAATTTCATTTGTATAGTTCAACCAATTTAAGAGTAATAAATGAGTCATGATCAGTTTGTAAGAAAAATTTTAACACCGTGTATCTCGGAAAACGAAGCATTTACGGACATACATTTATCTATATAAAAAATTGTTAATATTTTGTTATGCAAAATCATCCCAAAGTTTGTCACACTTATTAACCAACATAGTCAGTTGGCGCTACAACCCTTCGTGATGTTTGGCCTGCCTCAATATATTTTTACATCCTGCTCTGTCGACTGTCTGTCTTCTTCACCCCTTTACTCTAATCTTCCTTAATTATTTACTATTATCCTGTATAAATTCTTAATTACCTCGTTGGTTTTTTAATTTATAATTAAGTTTTGCATCTGTCTTTGAAGAGTTGCTGACACTGAAATAGTTTTTTAGAGCTTCGTGAAACTGTAAGTAGCCTTTTAACTCTAGACTTTCTTTAATGCCTCTATTAAACTATTTTGCCGTTAGTGTTACTTTCAGATCATCTTATAACTTTACCTAGGGCTTATGTAAGGCTTATGTAAGGAGTATGTCACCTTGTCTATGGCCGTTATGCTGACAGTGCCAGACAGAACTTTACATTGATTGACCAAACTTTACATATATCATCTGTACTTATTTTTATATTGTCTAAATTATAAAACTATATTCTCACTAATTTTAGGACCATGTTGGGTACAGATTTGAATATGGTGTCCACGACCCCCATACACACGACCACAAATCTCACTATGAACATAGAGAGGGCGATCATGTTGTAGGAATGTACACTCTTAAGGAAGCAGATGGTACTTACAGGATTGTGAAGTACAGATCTGGGCCTAAATCTGGATTTGAAGCTGTAGTCGAAAAAGTTGGGCATGCTTATCATCCTGCACATCATGTACACAGTTGAAGTGAAGGATAATATTATATTTATGATTAAGAATACCCAGGAACTGAAAATTGTTATTTTTTAATAAAAAACAAAAAAAAATAATCTGTTTAAAAATTATAAATGTTACGGTTTTTATGGCACACCTGATAATCCCCAACGTAATGTTTTAAACCACTAAGATAAATAATTTCAAAATTAAAATTTACTTAATATTACATATTTTATCTGAGAATTGTATATTTTGCGGATTTGTCTTCGTCTTGATGCTTCAGAACTAATCTGACTTGACAATGGCAAGTGTGACCTTGCCGAAACGTCGTCAAAACAATGTTTTTTCTAAAAACCAAAATTACTTAACGCGGAGTCAAACCCGGAAAACAACTTATATATATATATATATATATATATATATATATATATATATATATATATATATATATATTATATATATATATATATATATATATATATATATAAATATATACATATATATATATATATAATATATATATATATATATATATAAATATATATATATATTATATATATATATATATATATATATATATATATATATCTTTTAGCGAAAGCCGCTATCGCTTTATTATAGTAAATGGCCAAATAGCGCTTTTGTAATTTATTAAATCGCATTATTTCTCACAAGAGTGATTGTAGAATTAAGAAACGATCTTGTGCTTTGGCAGAGCATGTAATAGACAAAGACCATATTATGGATTTTGATAATATTAAAATTTTATGTAATGAAAGTAATAAATTTAAAAGAACCTTTTTGGAAATGGTTTGTATTAGCAAAAGTGATAATAATTTAAACAAAAGGTCAGAAATTCAAAATTTAAGCAAAATTTATAATTATGTAATTTCTATTTAATTTATGCAGTCAGTAAAATATTACATTTTGAATTTTCCATGTATTTGTTACATTTTTTCGGGCATCTATCAATGGTGAATAAATCTTCTTCTTTTTTGTTACTTAACAAAGAAGAATTTTTTAAACAAAATTTTATTTTTGACAATATGTCAAAAATAAAAATTTTTAAGTTAGTATTTATGTCATTTTAGGCTGGTTGTAGCTATTCTATTTTTGTTTATAAATTCAATTTTTTTTTCTTAAGAAACTTCATCTAAATTTTTCAGAGAAACATTTATTAGAATAAGGCATTTTTTTATTAATATTTTTTGTATTTATTATGTAAGCAGTAGTTTTATATAAAAAACTAATTTTATTTGGTGAGTTAACAGAAAATTTTTTATTTCTAGTTCAACTTTGTAAGACATTTTGTATTTTTTAGAAGCTCTTGATAAAAATTGTAATCACAATTGAAAGCTCGAGTAAAAAATAGTCAACAAATAGCCCTTTTATTGACTCCAACCCATCAAAAACAGTGTTATATATATATATATATATATATATATATATATATATATATATATTATATATATATATATATATATATATATATATATCCTCTAAAATAACAGCTGATCTGGTAGATGAAAATGGAGTTGTTAATTGGGTATACAGCTGATTAAAAGCCAAGTGCACTCTGTTTAACAGTTCATTATATTTCGCCAATTTTCATTGGCATCATCAGATGAAATCTTAAATGGATAATCCAATAAATATGAAATCAGATGTTGAACATCTGAGTGAGATTTATGCTTATCTATTACATATCGAAAAAAAACAAACATAACTATTAAATAATTATTTTAACACAACATGTAATTTCAAAATTTTCAAAATCCAATCAATAAACAACTACTATATTAACACCACAGAACTAATTATCTCCTGTTACACGTCAATAAATAACATTCGATATTTGGTATTTCTAGTACTTAACCTTAATGACTGTCTGCGAACTAAACGTTTTTTGTTTTTGTTTTTTAATTTATATTGTGTCATTTCTAATATTTTAATTTTGAACGTCAACTACTACATGTTATATGTCCCAAAAAGCTGCAATCCACATCGTACCACAAACCATTGTTTTGTTAAAATAAATCATATTGCCGCAACCTCAATCAAGTAAGACTTAAACAACAAACAACTATTGAATGTATTTTTTTACTTTATTATTTTTATTTTTACCATGTTTTGAATAATTGTAGCTTTCATCTGATGATGCCAATGAAAATTGGCGATATATATATATATATATATATATATATATATTATATATATATATATATATATATATATATATATATATATATCCTCAAGGAGCAACGACTGTTAATTTCAATAAACAGTGATAAAACAGTTAAAAGGGGGTATAATTCCTTTCACACTATAACTCTTCAAGATAGACAGATAAGAGGAGAAAAAAAACGAGCTAGATGTTAACTATTCAATATATTAACGAAAACGTTTCGTTTTGTAGTTAAAAAACAGCCTCAGTCCAAATCTGTAAGAGTAACACTCTTTTAGAAAGATTTCTGAAGCTCTTTAATTTCAAAGAGAAAGCCAAAAAATGACTTATTACTCAACATGAGATAATATTACAATAGGTATGCTTGATGATAATAATCATTCGCTGTTTGATTGCAAACACAATGATGATGCAATTATTTGAGGCAAACTTTCGCAAGAACAAGTACCTCTCTCACAAAATCAAGCTTCCCTCTTATACTTGTCTCGGCAAAACTTAAAAATAAAACAAATCATATGAGAATTTTTAAAAAGAAGGAAGAGAAAAATTTAATTTGTGTTGAATGAGTCGGCTTAAATGTGTTTAGCATTTTTTTCTCACGTTAACCCTGTAAACTGAGCAAACTATATATTTAAAAGATTCTACGTTAAAAAGGTGAGTCATCTAAAAAAAAGAAATTAATAATTTGTGTATATAGTATTTAATTAACATGAAAAGTGTTTATACTAAACTAAAATTGAAATCGTAACCTAAGAAAAAAAACATTTCATATCATTGGATTAGATTATGAATGAGAAATATATGAAAATAAAATTATACTTTATCCCAAATTTCGAAATTCGTTTACTTAAAAATACATTTGTTTATTAGGTAGAATACCTATTACAATTATTAGATCGATAATAAGTCACTTCACTGTTATTTAGTTTATTAATAATCTTCACTGTTTAATAAAAAAAATTAAAATAGGTACAACCTGATTCATTTAAAAGCTTGTATTATCCAAAAGCAGGTGGGCATGAAGGAGGGATATAATTTTTTTTTGACACTCTAGGTAATTGACCGACCAAAACATTGGGTCTATCTAGCTACTATACACCACAAAAATCTATATGGTTGTGTTTAAGGATACATATCATAAGTCCACATCTATTTAAACAAATTGGGGCCAATAAACATAGCTTAGTAACTATCAGGGCTCCCGGATAAGGGTCAAAAAATGAATATTTAAAAATATATAAGAGAAAAGGAATTTTTTGGCTTACCTCATTAAGAGACCGCTTAAACGAAATAACGTCTTGACTGTTTGACGTTCAAGGAGATAATAGATGTAGAAAAAAAATTTCGCTTGGTACTCAAGACGAATTACCGAACGCTCTTATCTATCGGAGATGTTAGGAATGACAGTACGGTTCTTGAGATAATTTAAATGCACTCGGCGAATATATGTTTGTTAGCAAAATTATTTTTTTGAATATTTACTCAAAATTATAATAATTTTTTTGAATAATTTGAAACGGTTACAACCGTAATATTACCTCCATTGTCGTTATCACTGGTCGTTTTGTATTGTAGTAAAAATTAGCTATGAAAGACACCTTAGCGGGAAAAAACTGACCTTGTCTAATTTCTTATTTATAAATCAATTTAAGCTGGTTAGGGCTCTGGATGAAAAGCATTCCACTGGTAAATTTAATATTTCCACAACCTTTTTTGTATTTTTCTTTGTGTTTTTTATTTATTGTATGAATCTAGCCATTAAAAAAAATACACTTGAGTGCAAAAAAATTCGACTCAAAATTATTTTGCGAAAGTACGTCTCCTATTTCAATCAAAAAGGTGTAAATTTAAAAATATTTAGTACACAATTATTAACCTCATTATTGAGTTTGAAAAAAGCTTTGATTTTTGGTAAATCGGGTGACGTATTACAAATAAATAATGCAACACGTAAAGAGGGGGTCATAATTTGACCCATTGAAATCGACACACAGCCTCTTAACACATTTGGTTAACATCGTAAGCATCAATTTTCATAGCAACCCATTAATACATCCGTCAATTAAATTCGCAACTTCATAACAAATGGATACCACATCCGTCAAAGCAGCTCAAGAAATAGCATTATTGAGAGAAGACCTGAGCCAGAGAGCCGTGGCAAATCGATTAAATTTAAGTCAATCTGCTGTGTCCCGAATGTATCGTCGGTACCAAGATACTGGTGATTATGTCCACCAACAAGGAGGAGGTCGTAAACGAATAACAACAGAGAGATATGATCGATTTCTTGTATTTAAATCTCTGAGTAATCGACATTTGACAATTGCTAATCTAAACTTGATTCTGTCTCCGGCTTCTATACAACATGTAGCTTCTCCTTAAGTGTTTGTTTATCTTAGTGTATTGTATTTTGTATTGTTATGTTTAGATTTTACATTTATGACATTCTACTATGTCGGATAGGCCACAACTGACGAAATGCCCCTGAAAATGATCTATTGATCGAAAGTACTTGGGCAAGATTAAATTAATCATTGTGTTCGATAGTTGCCTTGTATACCCTCAAAGTTTAATTATTCGAACATTCAACCTTATATTGATGAATTGCTAATGTCATACAAGAGCTTAGAGGGGTCCGAGGTGTGGTTACGAGCGTTTGAAAAGTCAAAAGGAGACTGAAAGCAGCCAACCTGACACCAAAAAGGGCAGCTACTGGTCACAAGCTAACTGCAGCCCAGAAGCAAAGACGACTAGAATGTGCTCGCGAACATCTGGATTGGGACGACTATCAATGGAGTCAGGTATTATTCTCCGACGAAAATAGGATCTGCCTACATGGCAACG